CCTGCTGATTACTAAAAGAAACAGTAGAAAAAGTGCTCAGCTAGCCAGTTTTTCCTAATCTCTGATGAGTAAAAGGTTTTGTGAGCTGCTGTAATCATCTTCCTTTACTAACCAGCAGAGGACCTGGTAAAACAAAAGGCTGCTAGAGATGATCCAGAGGTAGTTACAGCCACCTCACAGAATGCAGAGGATGTCCACGCTAATTAATAAGCCTCCAGAACAATGGAGTAACTGGAACACAATAGCTGTGTTGGTTTCATTCAGCTCAAAGCAGGAAACTGATAGCAGCAGCAAAATCCAATAGCTGACAAGTACAGATCTTCTATACTTAGATGAAGAATTTATATAATAAAGTCTGCCATCATAGTTTCGCCAAGGTCTTAACTCCTACAATTAGAGAGGAATTCCATCTTCTACTCAAAGCCTTCCATTTTCAAAATTCACTACCTAACAAGCATCACCATTCTAGAAAGCACAGAAAACCCCCATGCACTGTCATTTTCAGTTGTTCAAGTATTTATGACTGTCTTATTTTCCAAGTAAGTTATATAATACTGTGGTTTATAGGTTTCATACCTGAACAAATCTAGGTGGAAACTTTTGTCTCAGGTCTAGAAGCAAAGCATCTACCCGTTGCCTTTGGAAAATAGAACTTGGTTCTTCCTTCTTCTTGGCTTTTGGTTTAGCCTTCTCTGCGAATGACAGAAAATGTGACAGAAACCGGTATAAGTAGTTCTGTGTGTGACAAGTTGGCATCAGTTTCCCCTCTAAACTTCATCTTCACTTCCCTCCAACATCAGTTCTTTCTTTGTAGAAGATAGATTAAGAACATTTTACTTCCTGATAAACTGATCTGGCTTCTGAAAACGTCCTTTGAGTCCCCAGTGGGTTGAAGTGTCCTGTGCTTTTTTGACATGGGGCTCACCATTTTTACCTCCCACCCACACCTCAGTGTTCATCCACACCAGCCCAGAAGAGCAAGTTTCCTTCCAACCTCATGGGAAGCACTAACTTACCGTTCAAACAGAACAGGTGCTAGCACTGAACCTTCTCTGAACCATTACAGTTTATTGCCCTCAATCTTTTCCTTTATATGCACCTTACCTTCCCTCTCAAAAGGGCAGAGGGGGGCCTGGGAATCATACCTCGTTCTTCTTGATCTTTGAAATGCCACCAATAGCCTTTGGATGGGTGATAGCGACAGTAGGACATAGCTTCTTCAAAAGCAGACTGAATCCCATGCACTGCAGTGAGCTTTCAGAACAAATCAACATAAGGAAACATTCAGAATTTAAAGGAAGAGTACAGTATAAAAATTCTTGTAGGCAGAGATTTAAAAATTTCTATTCTATATTTATTTTTGTTCTGGGAAGGGAACTTGGGGCAGCTAGTTCTGCACCAGGAATGTAATCTTTTTAACACGATCTTATGAGACCAAGTACTTTTCTAAACTGAGAAAAAGTTACAAAAAACAGCACTTCACTAGGACACAAGAAGAAACTAAAACAAAAATCTAATCCGAGTATCCAATTTAGAGAAAAATACCAGGTTAACCTAACAATAAATATTCCAAAGCAAGCTTCACTGCATATGTCATTATTCTTTCATGTGTGTTTTATGTCATTTAATAATTTTATTATGATTCTTTGAACTTCACACTGTTCTACCAATTGTCTAACTTCAGTTATTCAAACCCCTTCAGCCTTAAACTATCAGAGCCCTACCTTTTGGGCCACACTGCACCACACTCTCCCCAAAACTTTCACTTCCATATAGGATACCCACCATGTTAACTGGCAGTGTTTGCCTAAGTTATTGTATACCACAAAAGACCTTTTTTCAAGCAGTGAAGGAAGGACTCAAACAGACTGCAGAACAACCAAAAGTAAAAGCAGCTACAGACCAACACATATCAAATGTGCAGAACACTTACAACTCTGGAGTTAATGACAGACCCCAAGTCAGGTGCCTGATAAATCACACCAGCAATAATATAGTAGTCAGCCAATGGAATAACTGTGGAGGGAGAAAATATATATATGTATATATCTATCAGATCAACTTAAATCTCTATCCAAAGAGCATGCATTTGTTGTTCATTTTCAGTAGTAACACTAAAAATTCCAATATTCATCTCACAGTGAAATTTTCTCTTCCAAGTCTTTTCTTAAGGTACTTTAGTAGCACTCCATCCACAGAGACATAAAGGAGAAAAAACCTAGGTCCGCTTTAGACATAGAAAAGCATTCATCCTGTTGCAAACAAATAGCTGCACTTATGAGAGATGGGAATTTTCAGAGCTACACAAGAGGAGCCAAGCAAACTGCACTGGAAGTAGTTCCCCAAATCTCTGCTAAAGGTGGAAACCCATAAGAAGGCAAGATGCAAGATCTCATTCTCCTGGGCTCAGGTTTCTCCAACTTGTGTGATCCTCTTAACTAGATATTCTAGGCCCAATGGCAGCAAAGCACACACAGAATAAACTTGATTAAATTAACAAGATTCTGAAGAAAAGAAAACAAAAACAAAACACAACCACCTTCCAAATCCATTTGCTAAAACAGGTTAGGGGCAACTCCTACTGGTTGATCAAAAATTCTTTGTTAAAGCTGCAGTGCAGAGGAACATGTCTCCATAATACTTTGCCAAGCATTGCTCAGTTTAGGAACTATTGTGACGATACCAGCTTCAGGTTCCCAAGACTGTCACCCCTGCATACATTTGCTCCAATTCTTCCATCTGTATTAACACGTTCTGTCTCAACCCTTTTACTGACAGGACCCAATTTCTCTAGTACTTGGATTTCATGAAACCGGGATGCCTGCCTAAATTAACACACTAAGACAACTGGGTGCATATTAGAATCACTATCCCTTCCCCCGCCTCCCAAAAAGAGGGAGGAGTTCCTTCTCAGTATTTCCTTGGGGGTGGAAAAGACTCGGAACAGTAGCTTTACTGTCTCACAGCATACTTTCCTAGACAGAGAGCTCTCCTTTGTCTTTGGATCTACAGATTTTTCCAATAGATTTTAACCACTTCAAATAGGCAAACTCTTGGCTTAAGATCTGGCGGGAAAAAAAAAGTTTCTCCCGCAAACACAGAAATTATAAGACAGATCTGCACCAATTCTACCTGAGTACCTAATACTGGCTCTGAGCTCACTAAATTTTCAAGTTTCCCACCCCCTGCTTAATTTGTCTCAAGCACAGCAGTATTTGTATTAAGATAAAATAAAATATATGGGTAAAATGTGAGTCAGGGAACTAAGTAAGAGATCTAGTCCAAACTGTAGGACCACAATGGGAAAGCATTACTAAACAAGTCCCAGCTAAGTTCCAAACATCCGTATTATGGCGAAAGCATGAACATTTATGTTGTGGAAACCAGAACTCTACTCTGGATTTAAAGGGGAAAAAAAGTCAAAAGAAGAAACTAGGGGATGCACAATATTTCTATACTCACCTTTCAAAAGCTAGATTCAAAACCTTTGCTTAAAAATAAGAGGAAAATCTATTCAAAGAAGCAGTCGTATATGTTCTTTTTCCTTATGGAACTAAAATACAAAGACGCCATTATCTGACACAAGCAAATAAGCAGCATTGCTAGACAAGCCAAAGTCCTATACAAGAACAAAATGCATACGCAGAGTCAAAGTCACTAAACAGAAAGTTAACAAATAACTAGCATTAACCCTGCTTTTCATTCCTGTAAGGTTTATTCTGAAATAACCTGAAGTGTTTTACATGTACACTAAATACAGAATACAGTCCAATTTGCTATAGCAATGTGGTAGCTCTTTTTAATTAATCTCACACACACACATAAATGTAAGGTTAAAAAAGGAACATTGAATCCAGTTGAATGCAAAGGGGGAAAAAAGGCAAAGTTATTTCATTTAGAAATTGGAAAGGCCATCACTGGCACCAGTGCTACTCTTTTTTAGAGTGTCACAGGATTCCTTAACGTCTCGAACATTCAGGTCTCAGATGAACCACCAAGACATAAGACTTCTGTAGCATTATACCATCTTTTCTTGCAAGGATCTCTTTTATTGATAAGATCCTACTTAGCAATGTAACCAAACCACAGCTGAAGGTGGAAATAATGCAGAATTTAAGAAAAGTCACATGATGCAACCAGAGGCACAAATGCATCTTTCCAACCAATGGAACACATGGCTCTCAAACAAACAAAAAAAAAAAAAAAAAACCCACATCCCAGCCACTTCACCACCTCAGAGGATTAACACAAATTAAATTAAGCTCATCAGCCCCAAGCAATTACAAATTAGCTTACTTAAATAATTAAACTGAAAACTCCTGTATAACCTAACATAGCAATATGACATTACATTAATGCTATTACCAACTTTCATAACAAAATATATTGCGGGGCACCACTTTTTCATTGCACTCTTCACATTTCACCACAGGAGGGCAATCCCCGCTACGAGCAGACTAGACATCGCTCCACGAGGCAGACTATCTCCACCTATCTTCCCACATAAAGCCCCATGTCCACGGATTTAGATTTGAGATAAAGACAGGCCAGAGAAGAACCATAAACGCTTAAACACAAGTTAGAAACAGATAGAAGAGTAGCTGTCGAGCCTTTCAACGGTGACAAAAACTGAGAGACCTCACCTTGTGTTGGAGACTGCCTTTGCTGCTTTCGGATAATGAAAAGAATGGGCTCTTGAGCATGAAGAAGGATATACTCCACTCCAATCATTTGGCTAGAAAAGAAGCAACCAGAATAAATATCTTCCTCTCGAAGTAAAAGCTGTGGGATGCAAAGAGCTACCAAAGGCTCAATAATAATGGGTTACAATTCTGATGCTTTGGAAGCTGTTTTAAAATGTACAGTAAATAGAGGCATACACCTAGCTGCATATACAAAGGAAGTTAAAACAATCTGACAACATCTTTTAAGCAGGACAGGTTAGCAAAAGAATAAACAGTGAAAAAGATAACAATCTACCATGATACAGATGTCATTTAAATACAGAAACAAAGGACCACAGTATATGCATGTGATGGGAAAGCCTCTCTGCAACCACAACCAAGTACAATGAATTTTGCCAACGAGCACTTAGCTTAACTTGCACACTCCCTATCATGTTGAGTCTTTAAACAGTTCTCAATACACTTCGCTTGCACTCAGTGTGGCGGATGGGGAATTGCAAAGAAAGTTAACCTGCACGTTGAATAATTGCACTAGACAGTCATCTGTGATGTTTATTTGCAACACTTAATACTTGTATTATTCATACTAAAAAGCTAGCTCTTTGGAGGAATACCCATACTAATTATGGCACAAAACCAGTGGGACATGGAATCACAAACTAGTTATTTATGAACCTAAAGTATCCTCCAACATCAACCTCATTCATCACAAGAAAAACATTTAACTACATTATTAATATCATTATTCAATTTCTGTTGAGCTGGGAAGAAGAAAGAAGGAAGACAGCCTTTTGAATTCAGAGAGTATCTAAGAAGTGATTTACTGGAATCTCAAGATACACCTAGAAAACTTCATGGCTACAATTTCCTTGAAATGGCACTAGAGGAAGTAGAAGACATCTAAATATAAGAAAGGGTGGACTCCATGGCAAGGAGTGGGCCTAAAAAAACCCACAGAATAGAAGCAGGTTCCCAGCAAGTTGCCATTAGACCATCAAAGCCTCTGGGTGCAGGGACAGAGAAAAACACTACACTGGAAGCAGCTTCAAATTAACAACTTACTTCAAATGGTCCAAGGTCATCCGCTGCATTTTGACAACTTCATTGTTGCATGTTCGGTCATAGAATGGGTTACTTCGCTCTGAGAAGTAGTCCAACACACTCCCATTGTTTAATATTGGAATCCAGGAGCTATCAACCCAGGAAATTCCCAAGAGATTATCTGGCAAGAGAAACCTACTTTGAGTACAAAATGGCTAGAAACAGTATGAAAACTTCCAAAAGTAAAAAGTCATAGTAATAGTTAATGTTTATGGCATGGGAACAAGGTGGAACACAGCCCTACACAAACCATTTCTATTTAAAAATGCATTTCATGGAGGTCAAGTAATAATCCATATCATTTAACTTGCTGTAGCTCTACTGTAGAAAGAGAACAATGCAGTCTGTTATTATTACACTTTTCTTTCCTTGACTACTAGTTGCTGGTTCACCATTATGTCCTGAGAATGCCAGCAGGGCGTGTGTGTTAAGGAGGTTAATTAGCTCTAATAACTGCATAATATTACCATAATACTATGTATGTGCATATGTGTATTATTATATACAATTTATATTACGAACCATAGCAATAACTGAGTAGAAAAACAATCCAAGACATGGTTCATTCTGAAAGCTAGAGAAGTAGAGGAGTTGAACTTAAACTGTCAGTTAGAATCACTTTCTGGAAAAAAATCTGAGAAGTGGGACACCTTACACTAAATCCAAGGCTGGTCATGTTTATTTCTTACAAAAATAGTTTCTAAACTGTAAGCCATGGTACTTAAAATAGGTAAAACGCTACACAGACCAATTAAAGTAAGATTTTTCTTCTGTTAAAGCCAATGAGTAAACTACTAAGTGAAACAAAATAAGGGACTTGTCAATAACATAGTATCTTAGAAATATTAAAACACTTATCTCAGATACAACAGCAACTGATATTGTTATGTTCCAAAGACGATTATGTTTGCTATGGGTGAAATCCATAGCAAACAATTCCCAAAAAGACAAAGATGCTATCTTTGGGCAAATGCTTCCCAGCAGCTATGCATACTAGATTCTGTTCCCGACTCTACCATCAGTATCCTAAATTGCCCATGGCAAAATACTTATTTTACATCTTGGTGAGTACTACAGAAACCTAATATGTGAGTATTCAAGTCTGAAATATATTCTATAACATACAAATTGTTATATGCCAGTTAAGTACCTACACATGTAGGGATATTTAAATTAAAACCTCTAGATTTAATTATCACACTTCAGTAAAATTGTGTTCCTCATGCACGTAAACAGTCAAAATTAAATGCACACCAAAGAAACCAATGTCAGCAATTGGTTCTACAGTCAACAACACTGCTAATGCCAAAGACATACCAGATAGATGAATTTCAAGATACTTTTGAAGCTATTTAAATGACAATAGCAACAAATAGAATTCCTAATACCTGAGAAAGTAGAAAACAAAGGCATACATTGTTTAGATTTTTTTAAGCACAAGTGGTGCAAAGTCTTTGAAGAATGAATGACAAAAATTGACACACTTTCTTATAGGAACCACGCCCTTATGTTCATGCATTATATGCATATCCAGAACTCCCGCTCGTCATTCCACTGTGAATAAATTCTGCATGCTCAGGGACAGCAAGATCAGGTGCAAAATGTCAGCTTATACATTAGGAGCAGCTTCTTTTATGAATGGTTAATAAAGTGAGACGAGACTAGGTGCTCAGCAAACCAGAATAACGCAGAATAACTATGAATAATTCATTCTGCCTTGTCAATCTCAGAACTGCTGATCTAGCTCTTCCATAAAACGGACAAAAAAAAGTCTAGAGGCATTCACATTATATCACATGCACTGTTTTCTCCTCTCTCTGTAAGGAGAGAGTCTCAGTAGTACAGGAGTAAAACCCATTAAGCACTTGATCAGCGCTACCACAGCTTTTGTCTTTTGGTTTTGAAAGGCAATTAAGACAATCTTTCCTTCCAAAGACAAAAAACAGCCCAGTTTTACATTCTTGCCCTGATAAAGTCCCATTTTGTGTTTCAAATAGAGACATGTCTTACCACTATAACTAATAATAACCAAATTTCTCAAGACAACTCTCTGTTAAGCTCACGATGCCAAAGCCACAATGATAAATATATCACAAAACTGAATATAAAGTTTGGGTTCTAAGACTCAGTTATCCTTAGCTGTTGTTCTATAAGTGCAAACAATTATAGTTACCTTTAAAACTTGCAAGACTTTTCTCTTAAGCTACTCTTGGAAACAGGGAGAGCAGGGAGAACAAAACCAACCATGGACCTGGCGTGCCCATTACTCCTAGGGAGAAGGGAATACTTCCATTTCTTAGCATCAGACACCTTTTTCAAAGTATTTATGTGCAATCTGCAAGATATGCTCACTTTAAGTGCTTGTGACAGCATTGTCAACCTGCCATGAATGTCTTATGCAAGACAATTCAAGAATAGAGATAAGCCATCAAACCATGGCAAAAATTAAGCAGAAAGCGATCCACACAACATGTTGTACTTGGACTTCTAGACCAACACTAGACTTTGATACTCAAACTATACTAAACATATTGAACTAGTTTAGATAAAAAACTTTGAGCAACCTTAAATGAACCAGATTGAGAGAGCAGGTTCTCATACCAGCTAATAATTACTTACAGCACTCCTGTCACTAATTGCCAACATTGCAAACAGCTGTTTGAAACAAAGCAGTCAAAAAAAGCAAACAGGCCTCTAGAAATCATTTTTTTTCCTTCAAATTTTTCTTTAAAGGTAGAAAACTTTTGTGGCATTATCAAAATCCATAGAACGATAGTATCTGGTTAGTATCAGATCTGATAGGATCTGATTTTTCTTATAACCTCAAGTAGAAGAAGCTATAGAGAAGGATTACAGAGTGATCAGATATCAAACAGCTTCCTCTCAAAAGGAGAGAAATTGGACTAGAAAATTCACCTTAGGGAAGTGGTGGGAAAGGACAACTTGTGAAGGCTACAACACAGGGTCTGTAAACTCCTGAATGGTAACCTGAAAGGTTAGCAGGGAATGATTTGCAGATAATTAGTCAATTCAGGTTTAAAGAGAAACACAAAGGACCTTAACATACAACACAAACTGTGGCACTTGTTTTCGGAGAGCACTGAGGAAGCAAGATGAAAAATCATCATCCATTAGTCACAGCGAGCCAATTGCAATCTTTGTTATAAGAACTCCTTTAAGTATAGATTTCTGAAAAGCTGGAAGTTCATAGTAAAGAAAGGCTCAATCTACACTTAACCTACCTCTCATGACCTTCTCCTAAATATGTGCTCTTGGACATTATCTGAGACTTCACTAGACAGTCTTTTGGTGCGACTCCATCCAGACATTCTTATGAAAAGCATAATTTATTTTCTCATGCCCACCTGTACCCAATTTTCCTCTCTCAAAGTCCTATCTCTTCAAGCATTTAACCTCTATTGTCTATGACATAAGCCTTCTTTAGACTTAACTCAAATATAGTCCTGTCTTCAAGACATTCTATTTATACCACTGTATACTCACCCAAACCCTTCTCCCTCTATCACTCTAACTTTCTTTTTGGCTTTTCTAACACTCAGCCATCCTCATAACATCTACCCAAACTGCTGTTAACATTACCTGCCCAACAGTCTGCTTTGGTCTCATGCTACCATTCCAGTATCTTCCACTTTCCTCCACACTTCACAGCTTAAATTCTCCTTCGTAATCAGTACTGTACCTTATTACATCATCCTCACATCTCCTTATTCTGCCTGCAAAAACAGACTTAGCTGTCCCATAATTAATGCTTATTTCTCCCAGAAAACCCTTCACACACTCTCCTAGCCTGCTTCACATGCAGCAAAATTGCTTTTTAGACATGTTTTTTTCCTCTCAGTTCCTCCTGCCGATATAGGCACAGTAACAAGGTTACTGAACTCCCTTGCTCATTGTTCTGAAAACATACAAACAAACGCGAACTTAACTATCCGCACTAAGCACTGATAGAGCTTGTAGTTCTATAGCCTTCACATCTGCACTTGGCCTTCTAATAATTTATATACTCCTTGGGGCAGACACTATCAGGGCAGAAACCTCAAGCTGGCAAGGACAGTCAACCATTACACCAGGCTCCCCCTCCTTCCTCAGCAGACCCACTGCCCGCTGGCACTCGGACAGCGAGGCCGGCCCACCGCGCTCTGCCCCGGGGCCCGACTCGGCCCTCGGAGGGACGCGGCTT